ATATTATCGTTAATAATTGGAAGTTTTGAGTAAGCGCTTACTTTGTTTTCTCTCATAATATATATTTCTATAAAATTGGCAACTATTTTAAATTTCACTAAAGGGTGTTTTAGTACTTCGTAGTTATTTAGTACTTCATAAATTCGTAAATTTGGAATAGGGTTTTTTATAATATTATTTGAAGTCATATTTGGTTTTTCTATTAAACGTTTGTCATAGATCGGGTAATCGCCAGCACCTGGGCTGCATTGAAATGGATTTCCTTTAATGTGCCAATGTTTATACGAGATAATGCGTCAGCACTTACATTATCTTTACCTTTTATGTATTGAATTTCGAAATTATAGTCCTCCAAATCTAGGCGCATTTTAGTCAGTTTGGACGTTGGGTCTTTCATTGAGAATAAATACACTAGAGGTCTATGATCTGATTGTACTAAAAACTGTTGACCGTAAAGGTAGCACTTGAAATGTTTTATAGCCCAATGTATTGCTGTTAGCTCTTTTAAAATTGTCGATTTGTTTTGTTCTCCTTTTGTAAATGTACGTGAAGCGTATGCTATTGGTAACTATTCACCATCGAAAATTTGTGAGAGAACTGCTCCGCAAGAATTATTCGAAGCATCGGTTGTGAGAATAAACTGTTTAGAAAAATCTGGGTATTGCAAAATCTTTGGACTGACTAGGGCGTTTTTAAGGTAATTAAATGATTCCAGACATTTCGCTGACCAAACAAATTTGGCATTTTTCCGTGTTAATTTGTTAAGCGGGCTGGTTACTGCTGCAAAATGCGGTATAAACCTTCGGTAATAATTACAAAATGCAACGAATCGTTTTATTATCAGCTGACTGCGGTGTGGGATATCGATTGATAGCGTCATATTTAGAATCATCTGGTAAAATACCTTGGTCAGTGATCTTGTGACCTAAATAAGTTACTTCTTTTCTAAAAAATTTATATTTTTGTGGGATTAACTTTCAATTGAATTTTTTACACGTTTCGTAAACTCTTCTAATATTATTAAGATGTCTTCTAATATTATTAAGATGTTTTTCAGAACAACCGATCACAATTAGGTCATCCGTATAAAGGAATGCTTTTTCCGGAGTGAGACCGGCAAAAGCAATCGACATCATGCGTTCAAAACTGTTGGGGCTAACTGCTAATCCAAAAGGCAATCTAGTAAATCTGAAACTACCTTTATCTACACTAAATGATGTGATGTCACTAGAAGCTTCCTCTAAGGGGATTTGATAAAATCCTGATGCTAAATCTAGCACAGAAAACCATTTTGCTCTTCCTAGCTGATCTAGAATGTCGTCTATACGTGGAAGAGGGAATTTGTCGGCTATAAGAGCCTCCTTGTTAATTTTTCGAAAATCTATACATAGTCTCCATGCTTTCTTACCGTCCGTTGATTTTTTCGGTACTAATAATACCGGGCTGTTATATTCGGAAATTGATGGTTCAATAATTTTATTTTCTATCATTTTACCTACTTGTCTATTTATTTCGTCTTTCAAAACTTTGGGCGTTCTATAATTTTTAATATAAATAGGTTTGTTATTTGATAATTTTAATTTTTGTGTGTAGAAATTGTTTACAGTTAATATGTCCGTTTTTAATGCAAATACATCAGAAAATTCACAACACATATCTAGCATATCCTTTTTAACAAACTCGGGTATATCTTGATTTAATTCGTTTAATAGCTGGGTCGTGCGATTTTTAGATTCCGATTGTATATTATATACATTAAATTCCTGAAGGTCGGTGGTTTCTAAGGTATTTGTTTGTAATATGACATTTTCAAATGTTGTATTAATAATTTTAACTAAGGATTGGTTTTAGGATATTATAGACCTGGCAACAAAAACACCTGGATGTAACTCTTTATTTTCTACGACACGGTCTTCGTGTTTCCCTAAATCTTCTGATTTTTAGATTTGGCAACGTCGCATTTCGCTGTGCATCCGGCAACACTGTACTAATGCGAGAATTTCTGACGCTAGATGGATGACGTCATCACCTCTGAAATTTAATAAGTGAATTTTATACCCATGACGTCATCACCGTAACGTCTGGCGTATGACGTCATAGACACTGAACAAGATAGAAATTTATTTAAATAAATTTATTTTAATAAAAAAGTCCCGTATAGGATTTGAGCCACGGTCCTCTCGATTACCGAGCTAACGCCTTAATCAACGGGACCACAATCGCTTTTAAAATTATTTGATTTGTATTACATGTCTATATATATATATATATATATATATATATATATATATATATATATATATATATATATATATATATATATATATATATATATATATATATATATATATATATATATATATATATATATATATATATATATATATATATATATATATATTATATATATATATATATATATATATATATATATATATATATATATATATATTATATATATATATATATATATATATATATATATATATATATATATATATATATATATATATTATATATATATATATATATATATATATATATATATATATATATATATATATATATATATATATATATATATATATTATATATATATATATATTCTGATAATAATTTTATTAAAATATTCATTCGCTCAGTCTGTAAAAAATTGCAATGTAACGATAGATTATTCAGATTATCAAACCAAGTTCTAACACGCTTGTAATACGTTGGAAAAACAAAAAATATATATATGGAGTGTTAGAATCCCATTTAAGTTGTCTCAAAGGTATAGATCACCTAATGAACAACGTTCGTATACAAGTCAAATAACATATAAAAACGCTATTCACCATATGTATCATACCTGTTGGGGACCCTCCCCAATTCAAACAGATAATTAAATTTATTAGCGCATACACCACTGATTTAATAATTTATCAAAAATAAAAAAGCATTAATTAACGTAGAATATACAAAAATATTTACTTACCACAATAACTATCTTCATCCAAGGGTTACAACAGCAGCGGACACCACTACCTAGGTAAGTACCTATATATTAACAATTTATTAATAACTAATAAGTTATTTAAAACCACAAGCAGCAGCAGCATACGTGTTATCACAACGACAACCACTTAAAGACTGATACAAAAATAAATGTAACCCTAAGCTTTGTAATCAAGAGTCAAAATCAGCGAGTTTTTATTTCTAAGTAAACAGAAAAAATTCCTTTGTAAAAAAGGACCTTTCTAAGTAAACAGAAAAATTCCTTTATAAAAATATACCTTTGTAATGTTATATACGTATATATATATATATATATATATATATATATATATATATATATATATATATATATATATATATATATATATATATATATATATATATATATACCATTGATTTAATAATTTATCAAAATTAACTAATAAGTACTATTAAAAACCATTGAAGGTCTATCCCCAAACATCAAAATCAGCGGAGTACTTATGCACAAGCTCAACAAAAAAATTTAGAGTATGTACATAATACAAAACATAACGTACCCAAGCCCTTTGTTAACGCTATAAGTATTTATTAAACAAAGTTTAGAGACGACTAAAAAAGCATTTGAAGAAATGTAGGCACAGAAAAAATTAAAAAAGTGTACATAATATAATACAAGACATAACGATTGCGAGAATGAAATATATATATATATATATATATATATATATATATATATATATATATATATATATATATATATATATATATATAGAGCATAGCATATATATATATATATATATATATACATATATATATATATATATATATATATATATATATATATATATATATATATATATATATATATATATATATATATATATATATATATATATATATATATATATATATATATATATATATATATATATATATATATATATATATATATATATATATATATATATATATATATATATATATATATATATATATATATATATATATAGAGAGAGAGAGAGAGAGAGAGAGATGGGTAGTCTACGCGACTGACTAGTTGAGAAAAATATTCAAACAGGTGTCTTGGGGATGCAGTCTAATAAGAAGGCCGTTAGTTCAAGGAAAAACCCTTTATTGTTTAGTCAAGCTTTCGAGAATTCAGTTGTTCTCTTCTTCAGGACTCTTCTACAATTATAGTAATTAAATACAATTTCTATTCTTGTAAAAACTATTAAAATGCAACTCACCAAAGTGGGATTATGGTAAAGTTTACAACATTGCTCAACAATCAAAAAGAATCCTCATTTCTCAAATGCAGTAGTAAAAATCAACTTTAAAATAAGCATTGAAAACTAACTACAAAAAACTTTATAAAAACAATACAACGTGTATGTGAGTACAAAGTCAAAGCACGAAAATTGCATGTCAAAATCTTAAAATACAATAGCAATTAATTCTGCTTCATGAACGATCCAATTATTTTATTGTAAATACTTAAAAGACAAAAGAAACGAATTAATTTTTTCAAGATTTTCTTTACAGTAAAGTGCGTTTCTGTTAGCACCGCCGATCGTTCACTAACGAACACCATAGTTTCAAAAAGGTAAAATATGTTACTCTTGATAAGTAAAAAAGGATAAACTTATGCATATAATAAAAAGAGTGAAAGAGAAACAACTACATAGAAATATTTTGACACATTGGTTCGTTTCATCAGCGAGATCGACCATGCGCAATATAACATCAATGCTACACTGAGAAAACAGGCATTAGACAACTTGATAAATTAATTTAAGTAAAAAGAAAAAGTTTTCCTTACATAGAACCAGACTAGAAATTACTTTAGAATTGAAAAGAAAAGCAAGATCTCAAAAAAGAGAGAATTGTAATACAAATTTTAGTATAAAATAATATCTTAACATTCAAATGACATTAAGCGATGGTGAAATACAAAAAGCGATAAAAATCTTTTCAGAAACTCAACAATCAAACCCCACCCAAACTACAGTATGAAAATATAACTATTGAGAACCTTGAGTAGCCACTTGTCGCAATGAACCATATTTGCCACTGTACAAGTCTAAAATGTAACCGTAAATGACACTAAGACTCTGGGTGTCACTTCTTTTATTCATGGTGTTAACTTGTGAATTTATGTGAACCATTTCAAGAAAAGTTCTTTTACAAAATGAGTCAGCTCTATCCAGAATCTCAGCACCATCCCAGTCTATCCTGTGGTCTAAATTGTTAACATGTTCCGACAATGCACATGACAAAACGCCCCTTCTACAGTCACTTTTATGAGATGTGATACGACCTTTTAAGTTTCTAGAAGTTTGGCCTATATAAGACAAATCGCAATCTCTACATTGCAACCTGTACACAACATTCCAATTTTCCATTATTTGAAGTGGTGTCTTAGTTCTCGAATAGAGTTTAGAGAGAGCCTTGACTTGTTTGTTAGCAATTTTAATATTATTATGTTGTCTGAAAACGTTTGCCAGTTTATATGTAAGATTATCTATATAAGGTAAAGAGAAATAACTGACAAGTTGTCCATTTTGATCCTCTGTCACTCGGTTAGGTTCAAGAGGAGTATTAGTGATATTAGGTAGTTGTTGTGCTGTAGGTCGCTGGTTATTATTGTTCACTATAGCTGTATGAAACAAAAACCTATTAATGATTTTTTCTGGATAAGAATTGTCAATCAAAATATTTTTTAAAAGAGCCACAGATTCCTCTACATAATCAGAGTGGCTTAGTTTAACTGCTCTAGACTTCATTCCCAAAATTAAATTTATTTTTGATTTCATTGTGTGATATGAATGGTAACTGATGAAACGATTTGAACAATATGGCTTTCTATACCATTTGTTTTAAGGATGTTATTTTCTGTTCTCATAACCAACATATCAAGAAACGGAACAGCTCTGTTCGTTTCTTCTTCCACAGTGAATTGAATATGCCTGTCGTAGGTATTAAAAATTCTAAAGTCATGCCTATCTGATCTTTAGGAACAGCCAGTAACAAATCATCTACGTAGCGCTTAACAAAGGGAATATGATGTGGCATGTAATGTAGACAATCCTTAACCAGATCGTCCAACACAAAATTTACTAAAATGGGTGAAATTTTAGAACCCATAGGGGTGCCAAAAATCTGTTTATAATATGTACCATTGAAAATAGTAAAATTAGAATCAAAAATAAACTCTATTACCCGCTCGAGTGTTTCGAAATCAAATGGACAACACGGGGAAATACTATTCCAATTATTACGCAAACTTTTCAGAACCACCTCCATCGAGAGGTTAGTAAACAAAGAAACGACGTCAAAGCTAACTATTACATAGTCAGGCGGAATCTGAAAATTGTTAATGAAAGTACTGAATGAAAAAGAATCCCTGACATAATAATCATTGTCAACATTATACGCCCTAGTAAGAATATCTGTTATATATTTGGCCAATTGACCATTAGGACAATTAATCGAAGACACAATGGGTCTAACCGACAGTGTAGGTTTATATATATAGTTTATATATATATATATATATAAATATATATATATATAGGGTTATATATATATATATATATATATATATATATATATTTATATATATATAGGAATATGTATATATATATATATATATAAATTTTTTTATTTATAGGGTTCTTGGCTTTTGGTCAATATTAAATACGATATTATCAAACTATAACTGAATATAAATAAAACTTACCACAAAACGTACATTTCCTCGTCAAACTTGTATTAAAACATGGGTGCATAAAATAACAGGTGATAACACATAACATTTAACTTAAAAATTATACTCATACAATATCACCCACATGACACAATAATTAAAATATATACAGTTTAAAATCTTAATAAATTGTGATGGCCGGCTCAATGTATTTTCTGTACTGAAGCGTTTCTATTTACAAGATTGGTGTGTATATTCTACTTAGCTTATCGACATCTTTTTTTCGTTAATTGCATTTTGTTTTTGTATCTGAATCATTTCAAGGAATTCTCGTTTTTTCAAATTAATTTCGGTGTTTAAAATTCTTGTTTTATTGTAATCAAAGGTGTGATTATTATTTTTCGTGAGTAACAAGTGCTGTAATGTTTTTTTGTCATATTTATGACTCTTTAGACGATTTTCCAGATATTGGCCTGTCTGACCTATATATACAGCGTCACAATTATTACAAGGAATTTGGTACACTATGTTGCTCTTTTTTTTTAGAAGTCTTTGATTTTAATTTTGTGTAACATTCCGATAATAAATTAAAGCCTTTGTGACACACTTCAATATTATCTGTTTTAAATAGACCTTTAGTTGATGGGATAAGCCTTCTATATATGGTATTGGTAAGAATTTTTTGTTTATTTTTTGTTTAATTTTTGTATCAGAATTATAATATTTGTGAATTCTTTTGTTTAAATGTTTTGTTTATAAGCTGAGTGGGGTAATTATTTAAAATTAGTGCATCTTTTGCTTTTTTTATTGCATTTTCCCTGTATTCCGGGTCAGATAATGATATCGCTCTATCAGCGAGACCTATGATAACTGATTTTTTTGTTTTTTGGGTGGTTTGAATTATAGTTCAGATATCTGGAGGACCATGTTTTTAGTGTACCACATAGTTTTCAGAGTTCCTGGGTATTATAGATTATGGTGTCTAAAAAAAACTGATTGAATTATCTTTTGTGTTTCGATGGTGAACTGGATTCGTTTGTGGAATGCATTAAATTCCTTCAGAACGTATTCATTTTTTCTTTAGGAATTAGCATAATACAATCATCTACATAACGATAGTATAACGGTATTTAAATTTAAATTTTTTTAATACAGATTCCTCTAGATTTTCCATAACGAGTTGGGCTATTACACTAGAGATGGATGATCCCATTGCGCAACCCTCGATTTGTTTGTAAAAATTGTTTTTGTATTGGAAATATGTTGAGTTTAATGTTAGTTCACATGCATATATAAATTCTTCTCTTGGTATATCGGTGAATTTTTGTATTTCATTCCATTTTTTGTTGATAACTTCTGTTGCTAATTTTATGGGTATGCTTGTATATAATGACGTGACATCAAGAGAGATTAAATTATAATTTACTGGAACCTTAATATGTTTAATTTTTTGTTTAAAATGGAAAGAATCTTTTATGTAATATTGATTTTTGTAAATGACATTCTTCAGAATATTTTTTAAAAATTTGGATAACGAACTAAAAGGGGATTGTACACATGATACAATGGGTCGTAAAGGTATGCCATCCTTGTGTAATTTTGGTAAACCATATATTTTTGGTGGAAGAGCGTTCCTAATTTTGAGTTGTTTGGCGTTGTTAGGTGATATATATTCTTTTTTTTCCCAGAGATCGATTAATTCATTAACTTTTTTTTGGTTTTGCTTTGTAGGATCGAGTTTTACCATTTTGTACGTCTTTTTATCTTGTAATAGATGGTTCATTTTGTTGTCATAATCCGATTCATTCATAACTACTGTTTTATTTGTTTTGTCCGCTTTTAATATTACAATTTCAGGATGGTGTTTTATGAAACTTTTCGTTTTGTTTAGATTTTTTTGGTTTAAGGATAATTTCTTTGATTTATTTCTATTTTTAAGTTTGTTCTTAAAATTAGATATTATATTGGTTGATTTTGCTCTAATTTCGTCTTTTTTGTTATTTGGAAGATGGCTTATACTATTTTCGATATTGGCTAATATGTTTTGAGTTGGAATAGAATTTGAATGACTAATATCGACTGCATAATTAGGTCCCAAACTCAATATCTGTTTAGCATAGTCAGGTAAATCTATGTTTGATACATTTTCAATCCAAAGTTCATTTGTTTTGTTTTCGTAATTTTTCTGATTTTTAATAAGGTTGGTAATTTTATTTTGATTGCGGTTCTTAATGTTTTTGAATATTTTTTCTGTTTTCAATGACACATGGTTTTTGAATTCCTTGACATGATTCTCTGTCAATTTGTTTTTTATAGAATTATCATTTATATTAAGCTGATTGTAAAGAAATTTTATTTTCAGTGTTGTTTCAGTTATTAGAATGTTTAGAGTATGGTTTAAAAAATTTTTTAAAATTTGTTCATGGAATGTACGTTTTAGGTTTACATTTTCGAAAGTTATATGTGAGATATTGATATTTAAAAATTTAGGTTTAATATTTTCAGATTTGCAGCGTAGTAGAAAAATTCTTCTGTTTTTTTGATATGCTGTTTTTCGGGATAAGTTTTCATAATTTTTTAAAAGCTGGATGGTTTCATTTCCATATGTTTGTCGAAGTTCGGAATACGTAAGCATTTTTTTCGCCAATGCTGATATATATTTTTTTTTTTAATTAACTTTTCTTTGACCAATCTAATATGTTTTTTATTTATAGGGTTCTTGGCTTTTGGTCAATATTAAACTTTTTCAGGGTTTAGGAAGTGTTTATTATATAACTAACGTTTCGGTCCAGTTTTAACCTTTTTCAAAGCCTACAATACGATATTATCAAACTATAACTGTGTAAAAAAAAAATATAAATAAAACTTACCACAAAACGTACATAAGAACAAACTTAAAAATAGAAATAAATCAAAGAAATTATCCTTAAACCAAAAAAATCTAAACAAAACGAAAAGTTTCATAAAACACCATCCTGAAATTGTAATATTAAAAGCGGACAAAACAAATAAAACAGTAGTTATGAATGAATCGGATTATGACAACAAAATGAACCATCTATTACAAGATAAAAAGACGTACAAAATGGTAAAACTCGATCCTACAAAGCAAAACCCAAAAAAGTTAATGAATTAATCGATCTCTGGGAAAAAAGAATATATATCACCTAACAACGCCAAAGCAACTCAAAATTAGAACGCTCTTCCACCAAAAATATATGGTTTACCAAAATTACACAAGGATGGCATACCTTTACGACCCATTGTATCATGTGTACAATCCCCTTTTAGTTCGTTATCCAAATTTTTAAAAATATTCTGAAGAATGTCATTTACAAAAATCAATATTACATAAAAGATTCTTTCCATTTTAAACAAAAAATTAAACATATTAAGGTTCCAGTAAATTATAATTTAATCTCTTTTGATGTCACGTCATTATATACAAGCATACCCATAAAATTAGCAACAGAAGTTATCAACAAAAATGGAATGAAATACAAAAATTCACCGATATACCAAGAGAAGAATTTATATATGCATGTGAACTAACATTAAACTCAACATATTTCCAATACAAAAACAATTTTTACAAACAAATCGAGGGTTGCGCAATGGGATCATCCATCTCTAGTGTAATAGCCCAACTCGTTATGGAAAATCTAGAGGAATCTGTATTAAAAAAATTTAAATTTGAAATACCGTTATACTATCGTTATGTAGATGATTGTATTATGCTAATTCCTAAAGAAAAAAATGAATACGTTCTGAAGGAATTTAATGCATTCCACAAACGAATCCAGTTCACCATCGAAACACAAAAAGATAATTCAATCAGTTTTTTAGACACCATAATCTATAATACCCAGGGAACTCTGAAAACTATGTGGTACACTAAAAAACATGGTCCTCCAGATATCTGAACTATAATTCAAACCACCCAAAAAACAAAAATCAGTTATCATAGGTCTCGCTGATAGAGCGATATCATTATCTGACCCGGAATACAGGAAAATGCAATAAAAAAGCAAAAGATGCACTAATTTTAAATAATTACCCCACTCAGCTTATAAACGA